TCTTGAGAGAGCGGTTATTTGACACCACATTCGACAAAGCTCGTCGAAACGACGAGTCACGATCCGCCAGATCACGGGCGATAGTAGTCAGAATCTTTTCCTCCAGTCGTTCAGCCTGCCTGTCGCGAGCAAAGCAGAAACAGGTGCCGGGTGCTCCCACATCCTCGATCCACGACGCAACTGTATGGGCAATGGCAGACTTTCCTGTTCCGGCCCGGCCGTGGAGCCACAAGATGCGAGGGGCATTGACGTCACATGTGGTAATCCAGTTGGTGATATCCTTCAGAATTTCTGTCCTGGTACCGTCGAGGCATATCTTGGTTGTATCCAGGCCCGCACCTTCTGCGTAAGCCATGCCTTCGAGGTTCAGGTCTTCAAGTACATGGTACATGTTGATCCGGATGTCCCGTATCGTGCGGTCTCGATATTGTTGCATCAGGTCACCCAGATTCTTGACGTGGCCACGGACGACGGTCTGCAGGTCGGAAACAAGGCTGTCGCCGATTCTTACCACTGACAATGTATCCCATTAGCATACCAAAGCAGATCAGGGGACCGAACGTAGGACCTACAGATGTTCTTCTTTTTGGAATATTTTACGATGAACAGCGCTGCAGCACTCATCTCCTGTGAAATCTTCCGTAATGTCTCTTTCATGCCATCCATATTCTCAATTGTATCGTCTTCCATAAGAAATTTGTAGACATCCTTTACGGTAGTTAGGAGGAGTACCACTTGATTGTCTAGGTTTGCTTGGTTAATGAGCAACTAATGGGGACTTTATGAGCGAGGGATCCATGAGAGGGAAGAGAGAAGTACTTGAGAAGCAGCGGTGAGAATCCCCAGCGAAAACTGGACATAAGGGTGGACCTGTGCGCTTACATTAGAACATGCAGACATCGGAAGGTTAAAGCGCCTACACTGGATAGAGTGGTAACAAAGGAATTGAACAATTTAAGAGGCTGGAGAATCTCCTCGATATTTTGAACATTCGTCATCGCGGTATCGGCCTGTCCAACAAGACCAACTACTGTTTGCAACACCCGGGACATGGGCTTAATGTCGACCATTGCCTGTTGTGCGACATTGATTTGGCTGCCAAGTCTGGTGTCGGTTGCCTCTGTAGAGCGAAGCTCTGATTGAACCTGGTTCGGCCGAAGGGAGAGGCGTCCCATCCTAGACAACAACTTTCGAAGGGCATTCGCCGATGTTCCAGCGATCAAGGAGGCGTCGGCAGAGGGGTGAGACGTTCCTTGTGTCTGTTTGGGCGGAGATCAATATATACCATGGCGTGCAAGGTATAAAACGCGTACCGAGGGAAGGTTGGATGCGGTCGAGCCGGGATGCTTCTTCGACTGCTTATGAGCCATTGGGTTTGCAGCTTGGATTCGAGGTTGGGGTGTATAAATCAGACAGTTTCAGACAGGTTTGAAGTTAAGCGCCAATATGCTGTGGACACGTTGCAGGTGCCATGCTCTGTGTGTACAGTACATTAGCCAGCAATCATGTAGGTAATCCTGCCACGCTGGGCCTGGAGCACAGGCCAGGTACATATGCAGCCACGCTAGTGACCGTCTGTCATATCGAATGCTTATGATAAGAAATTCGACTCTTTCGTGCTCGCGTTGAAGAGAACATTGATGGCAAGTCTACGAACGCTTTTGCTATGCAGTGGGTGCCGCAGTACTTTGCAGAATCAGATTGTCCAGTTTCATAACTTGTGGACGAAGGCGCCGATCATCGATCAAGTTCAGTTCAGCATTTGAGGACCCAAGCGTAGCTCAGGGTTGGCTCATGTAGGCATTTCACAATGCACGAATTCCACTTTTTGACGAGCTTGCCCACTGCTTCGGTTGCGCACCGATTCAATGACAAAGTGTAGGCTGCTTTGGCAGACTGCAAAGCAGAATTAAATTGAGACTACGGGCAGGGACTTCGTTTCGCTATTACCAGCAACGCCAGCACTGAGGACGCTCGACGTCAGTCCAGCTATTCACCAGGTGGCCACGAGGATCGAAGTTGACAGCTTCGATTTCAGGCTTCTTAGGCTTCTTGGTTTGTCACGCTGCCCTCCTCACAGGTCGGTGGGTACGCAGGGGTGCAAACAACAGAGGACGGCTCGTTACTCCTTAACCAACTCTCCCTAGAGAACTAGCATTCTACCAGCACATTCGCGGTGGCATATTGACAGACATCGACGCCGCTACGTTGGCTGCATCAGGATCAAAACTGCCACTTCCATGGATCCCAGAGTTCCTAGGGGTGTTGTGGCTCGGAAACCACCTGATAAATGGTATACCCGCCTTCACACCAGCTAATGGAACAACCACCACGACCGTCCTGGAGAATATCGTGTGTGGATTCCACATATCATGCATTCTCGACGTCAACAGGAGATCGTACTACTACCCGCCAGAGAAAGAGCAGATGATTCGCACCGCTGCAAACACGACCATTCCTCAGTACTGGCATATATTTTACGGGCTGTCAGGTATACCCCCTGTCGATGGCTCTGTTGATGCTCAGGAACTGGTCTAGGTGTATGCAAACGATCACCCAAGTCCAGACGAGACCGCGGGGCTCTTTCCCTTCTCCACCTCCGTGCCCCCATCCCTCTTGGAGGTGTCAAACACACCCACGTCAGGCAATGCCATAACCACACCGGAACGCAACCCTCCCTATTTATTCTGCTCACGCGCCTGCTCGACGCACTTGAACTTCTCTGCGCAGCACTTGTCGAAGCGGAAGTACGCATCGTATGCAGGAGCATCCTTATCATATACGAAAGCGACTAGAATGTGCAGAGCATGCTGCGCGGACACCACAGGAGATATCTATATTGAACGACAAGCCTACCGCTGGACGAAGGCTTGGGTAGGACCGAGGAAGGGGCTTTGGATGATGAAGACAAATAGCGGAGAACATCGCGATCGAAGTAGATGAATATGGCCACCTCACCCTGAACGAACGATGTTGTTGCGACGAGTTCCGTCGTTCTCCTTTGATGAAAACGACGATGAGGACACGGATGAATTTGCAAGTATTGGGGCGGTGTTGAGGTGCCGGTCGATGAAAGCTTACATGCTGAACACACTCGTGGTCACACACAGATGCAATATGCCATGCTATGTTATACGTATCTACCAGACGTGCACTTGGCTTGCACTTTGTAAGTGTTCTGATTTCACCACGCCTCTACAAGGATTTGATCTCTCTTCCTCTTCTCTGCTATCCTATTCCGCAATATCTCAGGATAGAACTACCAGCGGAGAGACAGAGAAACGGAAGGGGCTATTGTCTACCAAGGCGGAATTCTTTTTCCAATGATCCCGTGCCGAAGGATCCTCTCCAAAGAAGCAGAGTGTTGGCCATTACATCGACAAATGTCAAAGGTACCACTTAAACCAGCATGCAGCAATGGATGGACGTACTCAAGCCAATACACCGACATACTAGAAGCCCGGAGTATACAATGGGCTAGTACTGGTCTCTTCCCACTGTTTGCTAGGCCCATATGGAGGAGGCTTTCCTCTACCAATCTGATCGAGCATGTACGCTACACACACACACCAGTGACTGAGGCGAAGGCTAAGCATTGAAGGACAACACTGTAGTGGCGCAAGCGGTCGGTAGAGCCTGTTGATACTCGTGGAGCGCTGGAGATCTATCAACGTGTTTCTGGGCATAGCTTCGAGATAGGGCAACATCAGTAAGCGAATAAATGGTTTAAACCTGTCACCGACTGGTCGTGACCGTGATTCTATCATTCCATGTCCTTCTGATGAAGATCAAAGGCTCGCTACAAAACATCTCAGTTGGATCGAGCAGGCGCACAGTAAGCGGTATAGAACACATCCTTCCAATCTATCTTCCAGGATTCAGCTTGACAAATGTAGGCCAAACACAGCATTGCGAGTTGCAACTGAGTTTTCAGCCATTCTTCCAACGCCTGTGTCTAATATTTAGCTAGGACACGTGCTGACATGTAAGTACTCCATCAATCCGCGGTGTCGGATGGGAGTTATGCCGTTCTAAATCTTGAATTATCCTATTGCAGTGCAACGGGAATCGCTATAAACCAGCAACCAACGCGCAACTGTTTATGCCCCAATAACATACGCGCATGCAACTAACTCCGATGTGAACACTGCTATATGGCATGGATGCGCTTCCAGACGTTGGTCCGTCGCCAACTGTCAGTTCTTCAAGGGCGCCCGACGTTGTCGACTGAGGAAACTGCACCTCTGTCACATGTACCAGCCACCATTTCCCGTCGTTACACCAGATGCCCACATACTTTTGTGCAGACTGTGCTGCCGAGTCTCCCTCGCAGAACAGGCACTGCGTTGGTCCTGCGACTTCAACAATCCCTGTGGGTCCCTACACACAACAAGCGCAACTCCTTGCTCGCCGGGTGGTGGGTGGTGGGACCATTGACCTAGCTGGTTCCAGGATGCCGATGGCCAGTGCTATATTGTTTACGAAGTCGACCAGAGCAGCCAGGTCCCAGTGGAAATGTAAGTACAATACTCCACGCCAATTATGCTGCAGATGATGGAGGCGGATGCACTTCCACCAACGGGAAACCCTGTTCAGGTCCTGGACCACAGCGCGCAGGGTGGTCCGTTGATTGGGTCGCCTATACTCATCCTGCACAATGAGACGCGAGTCGATCGTTTGATCTGAAGCCGAGATAAGACCATTGGGTACTTTATTCATACCCAAATACGGTCTGGAGCACTCAACATCAACTCGTGACCTTGCTGTCAGGGACAAAGGGCTGGGTGTATCTGCTAAATCGTATGTACTGCAGGTATGTCGTAGTACGATTACAAAACGCGGCGGTAGCAGTGATAGAGAAGAGAACCTCTTGTTCAGTGAAGAATAGCTCAAAGATTGAACGAGTGCGAATTGTCAGCAACCATAAACCACTCATCGTCTCGCTCCAGATCCACAGGTGGAATATTGGCAAGGTCCTTTATAATGCCTCTGTCGTCAATCGCACTCATCCAAACTAAAGAAACTATCTCGTCGAGAACGGCGTCGCGACCCGGGATTATATAGTTTCGACTCTTGATCTTCTGGTGAGCGTCGCACTGTATTGCCGACGGATAGTATGCATTGAAAGCCAAACTAATGGCTCCACGGGAAAGCTTCTTTTCGTTGTTGTTTGCGGTGAGTGCGAGCAATATCTCCAAGACGTGCACCAGATCGACAACGTAAGCCATGAACTTACGATGCACGTCCGGTCTAAGGAGAGTTACTCGCAGGAAATGCTGAAATCATGTCACCCACAGTCGCCGATATGCTTCATGAACCCATTGTACGAGGCCCAGTCCCGCTTTAAACGGCAGAGTAAGCAAGGAAGCCCCTGACCTTGTCGTGTGACACCTCATAAGTGTAATGTAATGACGGCCTGCACAATAGTACTTACTCGCATATTTTGCTGGTACCGTCAGTACGAGGGAGACGGGGCGCCGACGAGTCAATGGTCCCCACCAGGTTCATCATCAGTTCTCGAAATTCAGTGCTATAGAGATACTATGGGACAGACGTCGCTTAGTAGATCATTACAGCGGTAATTGAGTCACACTCACTTGAGATGGGTCATTGAAATTCCAGACAGACACGATGTCAGTATGAATAACGGAGAGGCATTCAAGAATCGTATGATCCCAAAAATTAGCACCAGAAGTCAATGCCCTCCAATATCCTTCAAAACATGGGTATCAATGTTTCACATAGCTGCCAGCCATACACGATTGCTTACTCTGCTTGCCAACACTATATGAGAAAATGACACTTCAGGTCGTGATATGGAAACGGGTGAGCACAACTCACGCTATCGATCCCTCGACCTTCAACCTTGGCGAGACTCTCTGTGCCATTTGGGTCACGACCGAAACTGGGGATGGTATGCCCAGCTGAGACCCAAAAGCCGCATTGACTTTCTCATAGGTGAGCTCAATCAATTTTTCAAGCCCTTGTCTATGCTCGCCGTCCTCTAACAACATAACGGTTGAACCGTGGAACGGAGTGAAAGTGGATTAAACCCACCACAGCTAACTGTGAGATGTGTTAGACCTGGGTTTCCGGTGAACTCTTGGATAGGCTTGATGCAATGCTTTTCCAAGTACTCTTCTGCAGCTGAGCCAGGGTTGGAAACTCTCTGAAGTTGCAAGCTGACCAGAAGCCTATCGTATTTCGTGAATACCACTATGGTCGGAACTAACGGCAGTCAAGAGCTTGGAAGATGCGACAAAAGTGCTGATGTACTTACTGTCCCCAATGACACCTATATCTTCCCGCAAGAACCTCTCCGCGCTTCGTTCCATAAGGCATTCCCCGTGAGATACGAGGGGTGTTCGGAAGCACAGCCTATGGCATAACCGTTCATGAGAATCTTATGAGAATCTTGGATTGACTTACCAGACTGCATGCAATTGATCTTTGATGTTTGGCTGATGTTTACGATTCTCTACGAACGTCTTCACACTGCTATAATTGTTGTGTTCCGCAGGTTCAAAACCCTTGCTGTCATGTAAGACAAACCGGTCGTTCTGCAGCGAGATGAGTTCTTTCCCAATATCAGCTTCTCCGGGCTCGTCATCTTCAGCGACCTGGGCATTTCATGAGCAAAGAACATGGACATGTTCTCGGTTACTCAACTGCCTGCTTGACTCCAAAGGTTTGGCTAATCAGTGTAGATTTCCCAACACCGGACTGGAATGATATCGTCGTTAAAAATTAGCTCTGTGATGCCGGCCAGCGCTCACTACCTGCCCGATTACCAATACCCGAAAACTAGCATAGAAATGTCAGATATTTGCGCAGTGGGAGGTTGGACGTACTCACCGAGGGCACTCCTTCAGGAGGTCTTCAGTAGTAGGACGCAGGACACCAGTGTTCAGAGGCGCGGAATCATCGTGAACGGGCATTACATTCTGTAGATGTTCCATCAGAACCCTTCGGGACTCCATCCATTTGCACGTACGACCTGAGTGCTGCTTGGTGAGAGTCCAATGGTGATGGCCAAATTGTTGTGTACTAGCTGAAACTCTACAAGCATTTGAATGAAACACAGAAGAAGGGGCTAGTTCATCTTCTGACTTACTCTGCTCCAGCGAATTAGACAGTACATCATCGACTTTGACTCGGACGAACTTAGCGACCGGAATGACTTTAGAATACCACTTTTTCCTATAAACGACAAATGAGAGTGCTTCGCCCTCAACGGTACTTTTGGGTACGAAGAACTTCAGGAGCGGCAAGCATGTCAAACAGACACTCTTACAGAGGCTGAGGGAATTCTTCCCGAAAGAAGTTTTTACTCTGTGATCGAATTCTGAGTCGACGACCGGGGAGGATTAACTCGATAAGTTCAATATTATCCTCCGCATTCTGCAGCTCAATATCTGCCTCATCGGTGTCAGTCACTTCAGGATCTTGGGGAATCGAAATCTTGAACGTCGTACATGAGATTCGCAGAGGCCGAGCCACGGACATCGTTGGAGGTTAATAGGTACAGGGTTAAAGTTGCCTGGTGGTAGATGGTCACAGGAAGCAGTCTACAGCCAGTTCGGAAACGGGAATTGCTGCAGCAGCGCTTTGAAGAGCAAAACTTTCACAAACTAAGAAAGTTCATTAGAGCATATATAATTTCGGACTCAGATTGAAGCTCTATTTCAAAAAACCTCTCTTTGATTCCTATGGATCTTGGCTATTATAATTAATTAGGGCCGCTCAGGAAAAAACACGCGAGCAAACTCAAGTGCGGTTGAGTTGTGAGTTTGTGGGCGAATATTAAATCTCCGACTGGAGATTCAAACTCCGCAGAAGAAGCGCGTGACCCGGAAACAGTAGGTGTGTAGATAATGCTATTAACACTCTGATTTAAAATTAAAACTTTGCCAAAAAGCATGCATGCTTATCAATAGAGAGATCTAGCAAATGAAAATGAACTGATAACAAACAAAACAAACATCCATATTCACATATACTACTACATACTATTGTAGTGTGAAAACAGACACAGATGTATATATGGGGGGAGGGGGGCAGGACAGGAATACAACTAGGGGGGGAGTGGGAATGCATACTAAATGATGATGAGTATTCTGTCATACAGTGTTATCAAAGCAGATAAACATCTTGATTACTAGATAAAGGGCCTTGATCCTCACTGCCAGCTACACCTTTTTGCAAGGCAAGGTTCCAAGCACAAAGTTCCATTCCTCCAACTTGATGGTGAGCTTCATTTTCTCCAGCTCTTGAGCTGTGTCATGACCATGACACCAGCATAAGCCCCTAACACTTACTCTGCCCTCTTCCAACATGTTCCCACACTTCTCCACCTCTTCTAACATGTTCCTGTGCTTCTCCACCCTCTTCCAATGTGTTCCCATGCTCCTCCAACCCTCCAAACACATCTCCACACCTCTCTGAGGTCCCCAGTCCACATTCCAGCTGCCTCTGCTCACCTGTGCCTCCTCTGAGGCCTTGGTCAGCTCAGCAGAATGTCAGACTTGCAACCCTGCATTCTAGATAGGGTTCTGCCCTTGTGTCAGTTTTTTTCCATTCTTCCACTTCTTCAGTATTTACCCTCTCTCCTTCATTGTAGTAGTTCCCTTGTCTCAGTTAAGGTCCCTGTTGTCCCTGTCCTCTATCCCTTGTGTCAGAGGTACTGCTAACCTGTTATATGTTTATTGGCTTGCATTCTACACTGCCCTGCCCTTGACCTATGTTGTATATAAGGCTGCATAGTACTCTGATGTAATCAGTACAAATATTGACAATAAAGTCCCCACTTCCAACTCCCTCTGAGTTCCCTCTGGAGTTTTGCCTCCACTCCTCTGAGACCACTCTACCTCTGAAATATGAGGGCTGAGCTCATGCAGGGGGGCAGTGCACTAGCTGAACCCAATGCCCTCCCATCTGACTTCTGACCTCTGACTCCAACCTCTGTCCCCAAAACTTTCCTCCATGCTCCTCCACTCCTTGTTTGCTGCATATCTCACCACCCAGTGGTTGGATTCACTTCAGACATTGACCACTGTACTCTGCAGCCCAACCCACTCCTACTCCACCCTAAGAGGAAGTCAGGGGTGTTGTGTGACTTTGACAAGCTGCCATTGTCTCCTCATGGGCAAACAGCTTGCATTGTATGGTAAGTTGGTGTTTGTGATTGGCTGAGAGAGCAGTGGCCTTCTGGTGGGTCCTCCAGTATCCATACTCAAGCTGGTGACACTTGACCTCTGACCTATCCTGCTGTGCCTGTTGAAATTGCTTAACAAAAGTTAATGAAGCACACAAGGTCCAAAGAAAGCTTGTCAGCAGGGGTTTCCCATGCACACTTACAGAATGACTTTGATGACAGCTTTGAATTGCTGTCATCTGAGAGAGCAGTGACACTGGGGGGGGAAGATGATGAGTGTCAAGTTTGAGATGTCTGGGTTGAGACTGGACCAGAGACTGAAGCAGGCATGAGGCCAAAGGGTTGGGAACAGGTGGGGAGCAGGGGAACAGAGGTGGACTGGTTGGACTTAGTGACTGGGAAGGCAGTGCTATTCCCTTGCATGGGTTTCAGTCCAAGTCTGAGGCTGAGGCAGGATTATCAGGGTAACTTCGTTGGTTTCAGACTGAGGGGATACAGGCCAAGTATCTATGGGTTTATATACTGGAAGTAACTATAGTACAGAGACTGGTAAAGCCAGTCTTGCAAAGATTGCTAAGGTGATTGGTAAGACTAGTATTAGTAATGTATGACTAAGGTGACAGAGACTGGGACAGGGTGGGCTGGGGACAAGACCGGGCAGAGTTCAACTGAAGTGACATGTACTGCAAAGCAGTGTTAACCATGCTAGACTAACTGGGGTAAGTGGTTGGTGAGGCTGAGGCTGGACTAAATGAATGTGAGGCTGAGTCTGGCCAGGGTCAAGACATGACTATGACAGGGGTTGTCATTCAAGCTGATGGAATTTGCCCTGTTAAACATAGAGGGGGGAGGAGACATGACAGCAGATGACTTGGAAAAATTGAAGGATGGTGGGGGGGCAAGTGAAAACTGCTCAGAATTAGCAGGGAGGGACAACAGCAACAACTGTTTAGAAAAAAGGGGGGGACATGATGGGTTGGCCAATGTTGACTGCCACCTGGTGGAGGATGGAGAGGGCAATGGAACAACAGTGGGCAGCAGCAGCTCTTGCTCAGGGAAGAGTGGGGAGGGGGATGGTATGGGAAATGATGGCATCTCAGCACATGACATGGGGGGGGTCATTGTCAACACTCATCAGTTCAGAATTGTCTGCAAAAAAGTTGTCAGTAGTATGAAAATTGTCACCACCCTCCTCTATTTTTCCCTCTTCCAGCTGAGATGAATTTGGCAGGCCTGCAGCAGGATCAACAGATTCTCCAGATGGTGGGTTTGGCTGCAGCTTGAAGGGTTCAACTGCATGCCCAGCAAATCCTGCCCACTGTCAGCAGCACTCCAGGTGCTGTTGTATGCAGGATTTGTGTGCTACCACCCATGCAGTTCTCCCCACCAGGAAAACTCCTTCTCAATTGTTGCTGATAACAGTCAGTAAACTAATGTGTTTAGGAATGAGGTAGCATTTTTTGTGCTGTTGCTGCTTGTGAGATCCTTGTAGGTGTGCCCAGCACCCATCTGCCCAAGTAGCACATTCTGCTTTTGGTACTTCATTTTTAAACTGTGATAGTTGAGCAGTGAATTCTTGTTTAAAAGAGATTCATGTACACATCAAGCTGACTATTGTTACACCTCACATCCTCACAACTCTCAGGTTCCAGGTCATCACCATCATCATTGTCACCATATGGGCCATGGTCTGGGTCATCCACCATCTGTGGAAGGAGTTGGTTGTGGTCTAGAACCTCTGCAGCATTGTTGCTGTGCCTTGATTGTTCTTTTGTATGTTTCCTTTGTTTTGTTCTGCATCTACCCCTGTATAGTATGTTTGATATGTCTTGTTACCACCATCTGTCCTGCCCCCTCACTGTGCTTGATTGTGCTGCTGGTTTGGGCTTCATTTCCTTCACTACAGAGTCATACCAACTCATTACTATTTTATTGCTTACTGTCCACAGTGGACTGCTACTTACAGAGATATTGTGCACCCTCCTCAGGGAGGTATATAGTTAGAAGTACAGTACTCTGTAACTCTAGTTTTTTGCTACCTTGCAAATCCCCTCAAATATATGCTTTCTTCCTGATCCTCTTGCATCAGGCACCATCCTGACAGAAGGAACCTATTGAAGTCAGGGTCAGTATTGGATCCATAGGGGTTACAACAAGTTTGGCCTGCAGTGTGTCCCTCCTTTGCTACATGTCTAGTCCATTTGACAAAGCCACCATCTTGGAGCATAACAAAAGCAAAAAAACTCTTGCAGATTTTACAGAGCTTAACAGTCTCAAGACTTTTTGCTCTCATGGTTCCTTTGCACTATCAAACACAGAACTGCACCCTTCTTATCTCAATCAAATCAATCAGTCTACAGATAGCCACTAGGCTATAAAATCCTCCCTAGACCACCCCTACACTGACAGGTTACCTTTGGGTTGTAATTCCTCCCTCAGCCTCCATTCACACTTTTTGTCAAAGTGACTTCACCCTCTCATAAACCCCCCTGTACTATCTCCTCACCCCAGAGGATTGTCTGGAAGAGGTCTCAGAGTGAGGCTGCCTCTACCCCCACACTCTACTGCAGCTTTTCTGTCCTGATATCATGAGACAGAGGTCATCCCAAGTTCCAAACAAGAAGACAACATATTGGTCTCCATGGATCTCAGATCAGCCTTAAATGACAAACAGGAACTGGAAATGTCCAGAATGGAATTAGGTCATGCAGAGTTGGCCTCTGAAATGCCAGCAGCCTCTGGTCAGACCTTTATGGAAGCAGAAGTTGCTTCTATCATCAGATCTGCACAGGAAGATGTCACAAAAAGGACTGTGGCTAGTGATCCATTTGCAGGAACTACCCCCAGTGCCAAGATGCTAACTCAGTGGTATGCCCACAAGTTTGGAAAGTCCCCAGAGCTAACCATTGGTGGGAACAGTGAGGGCAAGGGCATCAAGGGAATCAAAGGAAGCAAACATGTGCCATCCCTTCCTAACAGAGGAAGGGAGTTCAACATCAATTGCCCCCAAGAATATGATGGAAGTCATCAGACCCTGCAA